GCAGTATCGAAGTTCCATCCTTCCAGGCTCTGCAGAACCGAGCTTTGACGGCTTAGGTTGGGGCTGTTGTGCTGCACGGTCCTGTCAAGGCACGACAGGGCTGGAAACTGCCATCCGAAACGCTTCGATCGCGCCATCTTATAGCCTCGCCTTTCGGTGCATACATCATGAGATACTGCTCCGACGCGCCACTAAGTACAACAATGCCGTCATGACTAGGGCTTCAATCCACCGCTCGGCGAACAATTACAGCATGCCGTTCTGGAGGGGCTCCGAGCTTTCTCGGCCTGTATAGAGGTGTAACAAACTCCCTTCCAGACGTTTGTTGCTACTCTGCATGTAGCCGTGGCTGGCCAGGGCAATGCAGTCCGTAGCCTTGAGCTCACGATTGCGGACAAACAAAAGCACGGGCGGCTCTCAATCTTGCTTGCTTTTCACCTCCGGAAATTCGTTTGCGGAAACACACTTCTGGAAACTCGATTCCGGAAACACAAGTCCGGAAAATTCGATTCTGGAAACACAACTCCACAACTTTCGTTTCTGTGCTCGCAGTTTGCCGAACAAGTTTTGTGCGGTTTTGACCGGGTTTTGCCTTTTGCTTTTTTGCTGGAATTTTGCTTTGGTCTGGGCGGGCTGGTGGTGGGGAATTCGGGCTTTTCAATGCAATTTACTTAAACTCTTGCGGCCACATCTAAAGACTGCTCAAAACAAGGCATAAGGTCTGTTCACCGGTTTGCCAAATAGGCAGAAACCATCATTCTGGCCATACAATCCGCCGACAAACTCTGCAACATGTTCAAAGGGACCGCACGAATATCAAGACATGCGAAGCTGTGTGTGCATCTGGGTAGGCCGTTGTCCTACAACTGTCGGCACTAACCAGCGACCATGCTGCTGAAGCATTCCTCTGGCGGACGCTGCCCTTTTTTCTTCTCCGTGGATGGCAACAACGGGTCATAGTGAATGCCCTGCTCCTGTGAGCTGCGCTGTCCCGGGCTCATCTGTACTGGCAAGCTCCGTCAAAGCAGGCTCACAGCATAAGTAGGGTGAGACAGGAGGATCGCTTCTAGCTGCTCAGGTGTGAGGGTCCGAGGGTTCTCCTCCAAGGAGTCCAGGTACAAAAAGTTCTCCCCGACGGATCTTACGGCCACCCAGTGTCGACCAAGAAGGTTCACCACAGCACCCACGCAGCCATGCAGGTCACTGATCGCCACGGCACGGCGGTCCGCCATCTGCCAGCATAGCCGCCCGTAGTCTTGCATCGCCTTGGTGCGGAGGACCATACCCATCACTTCAAACGAGTAATCTCCTGCAGGAGCCACGTGGTCCTGCATGTTGTCGGCCAACTCCCGGTTCTCGAAAAGGAATGCTTCAGCTGCGTGAGTCATATCTCCCGGGCCGACCAAGCGGAAACCCAGAACGTTGTTGAGCGCGTGGATTCCGCATCGAAGCTCCACTTGCCGTTCGAAGTAGTGCAGTTCCGCATCGGCTGCCGCAAGCTCGTCTGGCTGGTGGCTGGGCAACAGGCCCTGTTCTGAGGTGTTTGGCTTGGGCAGCTTGGGAGGGGGCGT